GACTTTCAAGCTCAGGGCGCATGCGCGAGCTGGCACCAAAAAAAAAAAAAGAGAGAGAGAGAAAGAAAGAAATGACTCCTTTGAACAGATGGTGCGGAAAAGAAAAAAACAAAACAAAACAAAACACGGGATGAGTTCTCTAAAATTGCTCTCAAGCCACCGCAGCCTGTTAGTCTCCGCGGTGCACACAGCTGCTGCCGAAGGCGAGGCGGGGGCCCGGGGGGCGGAGACGCGCAGAGCGCGGGGTTGTCAGGGCTCCGTCCGCCGCCCCGAGGAGGCCGCGCCCTCCCGCTCCCGCTTCTCCACCCGGGGCCGCACCGGGCAGGGACAACCGGAGCCGGGCTCTCCCGCCTTGGGCCGCACTGCCCCTCGCCCAGCTGCCGCCACCTCCAGCTCCCACGGCAGAGGCTGCGGCCAAGGCCGGCGCCGCGCTGCCTCGCCCAAGCTTCCCACGGTAGTACCTCCGCCCCGCCCTGAATTCGAACCCCAAGAAATCTGCCCCCACAAAGACCCAGCGTCTGGAGAGAGCGGGACTGGCAAGCTGGGGCACGGGAGCGGGGGGGGGGGGTGTGAAAAAAGAACTCACCTAGAGCCATCCAAAGGGGCACAGTTTCTTCACGCTCTCTCCGCCATCTTGGAAGGACGTCACCGCGCCCCGCCCCGCCTCTTCCTTCTTCCTTCTAACGGCGACCTCATATCCGGCCCGGGCGTCCCGTGGAAACGCCGGAGGCTCTGGGACGTCGGAGGTCCGAGTCCGGCGAGCACAGACCAGACTGGCCCACAGAGGTTCCACTTCCCAGCATACCGGGGTCTCCCCCACCCCCTCCCCCACACCGGCGAAACCGCGAACGCCACGGATAGGGGGACTTAGGGGCCCGTTCACAGCGCCCCGCTTGTCTTCCTCATGCAGACATCGCGGCGGGCCGACAGTCAGCATCTCGCCGGCGGCCCGCTCGCAGTCCGGGCGGAGGTCGGGCAGCGCCGCGCCGGGGGCCCGTTTCCAGGAGCCAGGTTGCGCACTGCATGCTGGGGCTTGTAGTTTCTCCCGTCATCCTCCCCTTCACTCCGGCCCCCGCGGGTGCAAACAGCTGCTTTGTGCACCGAGGCTCCCGGCCGGCGGAGGTTTCTCGAGCTGGGAGGACCACCCCTTGTCAGCTTACGTACCCGAAAGGCTCTAGGGACCCCCCTGGGTTTTGTTTGCCTCGGCCGACCGTAGCTGAGTTTCCGGGATATCCTCACCTGGCGTTACAAGAGGCAGCAAAGCGGAGCAAACCTGTAGGGAGCACTGGGCACGCGCATCATCGCAGGAAGGTGGGCTCTACACCGGAAAAGGTTTTGCGTCTGGACCCGAAAAATCTTAATACGGTGATTTACATCGGATCCAGATTTTGTACAGCGGAGGGAAAGGATGCCGGTGACCCTGCGTGACCTACAAAAAAAGGCGCAGAAACAGTCGGATACATCCTGTTAAGGTGTTAGGGTGAGCTTCTCGCTGGTCCTGGAGGACACCCTAAATCTCAAAGAAAAAAAAAAAAAAAGCACGACTTCATTTTTTGTGTGTGTTAAAAGTTGTGTCAGGACCGTCGGATGTGTACTCATGACTTTATTCCAAAGGACAGTCCCCGCTGGAATTTACTTCCTTGTTTCTTCTGAGATTTTTTTTCCCCCCAACGCCGTTCTGTTGGCTCTCGGCCTTCTCTCTGGTCCGTGGGAATCCTATTTGTGAATAAAGCCACGACCGTTATGTTTATAAGGAAATAAAGGTTGAGGCTGGTTCTAGATTTCAGCCTTACGATTCCACTTTTAGATTTTGTCAGAACCCCCTTTTCGGCAGTTTATTCAGAAATGAGCCCCTACTAGGTGCTAAGCACGACACTGTGTAATATAAGGGTGAAACATGGTTTTCCTGGCGTTTAGGGGAATTTGCAATCTTTTTTTTTTTTTCTTCTTTAATTTCACCACCATTTATTTCCCTTGCACAACCCTCAGTGTGCCAAAGATGCTAAGGGGATAAAAACATAGGCTTAATTAAGATACCTATTAAAAAAAAAAAAAAAGTGGGTTCCTGCAGTATTGAGACTGTTAAGTTAAAGTGAGTGGCCAACGTTTTTAAATTTAGGAATTTATTGTTTAATCCACAAGCTTTATATAGCTTTAGTTTAAAAAAAAAAAACAGTGAAAACAAGACACTATTTCAAAGTCTGGGCCCTAAAAAAACAAACAAACAAACAACAACAACAACAATCTGGGCCCTTCCAGCCTTCCAAATACAAGAGCTCTGAAAGTTGTATGTACCAATTGGAAGAACAAGACAAAATTATGAGTGGAGCCATGACATTTCATAAAACAAACTTTAATATAACTGAAGGATCCTTCCTGGGACGAGTTAATTGCCTTTACAAACAACAACAACAACAACAACAACACAGTTGTCTTTACCAAAAAAAAAAAAACAAAAACAAAAAAACAGAATAGAATGAATTCCAGTGTTCCAAATCAACTTGTTACACATCAATATAAACCCACAGTGTCCTGGCAGACAACATAGGCTTTGATTTTCCATCTCGTCCTAGGGCTGGAATCCTGATTCATTTCAGCAGGGACTCCACAGGCAACAGAAAAGTTGGTGGCATTAAAATATTCATTTATACTTTGTGGTAGTTCAGCAGTCGGCCTTATTTCTGGGCAAGTCTGCCAACCATACAAGGCTGGAAGCATCATAACCTGAATGGGTGCTAAGACGGGAATTTGCAATCTGAAGGAGAAAACTGAGGGACCACTAAATCACCTGTTAACAACACAAAGAGTGCTGGGGAGGCAACTAGGGCTAACATTTTTACAGCATGTTTGAGCTCATCTTCTAGGCTGGAAGTCACCTTCTTTTTCAGGAGGAGGTCGCCAGTTGAATTTTTACCTTTGAAGCCATTTCCACGTGGAAATCCGTCCCTACAGACATTCGCTAAGTAACATAACCAAGGTGAAAGTTCAAGTTCCCCCTGTTCCGCAAGTTGCTGTATTTAGATCGTCATTTTAAAAACTAGAATCGTTAGTGGAAATCTCACGGCCCTGTGTGAAAGAATTTGAGTTTTGAAGGAGGAAGAAACGGAAACACACACACACACAAAAAAAAAAACCTTTGTTTCCGCCCGGTTTCGAACCGGGGACCTTTCGCGTGTTAGGCGAACGTGATAACCACTACACTACGGAAACCTCGCTGGTGTCAGGGGCTCGGAAAAGCCTCCATATGGACGCAGGAGCGTGAGGTTCCTGGGCAGTTAAAGCAACATTAGGGTAGTTTTTAACCGAAAAATAAAACAAACAAGAAAGGGAAAATGACCTGACTTCTAACTGTGGAGCGCTGAAACTGTTTGAAAGTTGGAATTTGCGTGCATTCTTTTTTTTTTACCCCACCCCCACCCCCAAAGACTCCTAGGAGCCGCTGTAGAAACCAGGCATTGGCTCCCTGCACTTCCTTGGGGTACACCTTCTTGTGCAGGGAACAGATGCTTTACTTAGTGTCCTTTCCCGGAGACGCCCTGCTGAGCAGCTGGGGCACGTGCGGGGCATCGCTGGCACCCCCTCCCGCAGCGGCCTGCAGCACCAGCTGCCTCCGCTGTTCCTTAGTCAAGTGATCCTTTCAGCCTCTGGTGGGGAGACGTGTAAATAACTTGAATTTCCTCCCCTGCTTCCAGAGATCAACCAACCAGAGGTTTGAACCTACCTACTTGTTTTAAAATTCTCTACACAGTGTGTAGAATTAAAGGGGTAAAAAAATAAAAATAAAAATAAAAATAAAAAAATCAGACACCACGGTGCACGTTTTGGCACTCCATGTACTTAAATTATTCTAAACCTGAACTTCGTATGACCTGGGGGATATTGCTTTTCTTGCAAAGAAGCAGACACATCCTTATGCCTAAAAATCAAGTCTTCTTTTTTAGGAAATGAGAAGGACCTTTCCCTATCACACCAGGAGACAACCTGGTGAGATTGTTAAAAAAAAAAAAAAAAAATCAATTAATCAGCCAATCCGACAAAGCAAGAGTCTACCATTTTGGTTTTGAGTGCATTTTGCATCGAAACCGCAGGGAAGGAACACAACAAAGTGTTAGTCCAGTTTATAGAGAGGATAATAAAGGTATATAAAACACACCTTTTTTTTTTCCTTTCAAGATTTTATTTAAATTCAAGTCAGTTCACATACAGTGTCGTGTTAGTTTCAGAGGTAGAATTTAGTGATTCATCAGTTGCATGTAACACCCAGGCAGCTCATTACATCAAGTGGTCTCCTTAAAGTCCATCACCCAGTTGCCTCACCCCCACCCCCACCCCCACCCTCCTCCCCTCCAGCGACCTTCAGGTTGTTTCCTAGGATTTAAAATTTCTCCAGGTTTCCCTCTCTCTGTCTTTATCTTATTTTTCCTTCCCTTTCCCCTAGTGGGTCTATGTGTAAAACCCACCTTAAATCCTAGCCTTCAAAAAAAAAAACAAAAACAAAAAATAAATAAATCCTAGCCTTCTTTCCTTGTCCTTTTAGGAGGTTGAAGAGGATTTCAGAAGCATGCAGCAAGCTGCTGCTGCAGCTTTCCTCCTTCAAACCTGCCCAGCTTTTCCTAGCTTCAAGGGCACACTCCAGAGCCTCTGGGCAGGCCCCTGGACAGGTACCTATTAGCCAGGATGCAAAGGGTTTGGAAAAGAAAACTGCTTGGCACGCCCCATCGAGGCATGAGGCAAAGCTCCTTGTAAAGGGTTAGATGTGTGTCTTCAGAGAAGAAAGTTGGGTTTTCCTGATACTGGTATCCCCGGATTCCAGGGGGTGGCACGTGGCCCAGCCCTCGTGGGAGGCGATCAGGCGGCAGCGCTCGCTCGCTCGCTCGGGAGAACCAGCGGGGCCGCACCTGCACCTGCCGGGCGGGCCTCGTGGGGTCAGGCCTGGGCCTCTGTGACGCGGCGTTCTAGGCCCCGCGGCCTGTTGACGCGGCGTTCCAGGCCCCGCGGCCTGCTCACCCGGCGCAGGCTGCCCCGCCCGCACTCTCGGGGGCAGGCGCAGCCAGGGCGGCCGTCGGGAGGCGGCGGCGGCGGCGGCGGCATGAGCCACTACCAGCTCCCGGTGGTGATCGACAACGGCTCCGGCGTGATCAAGGCCGGCCTGGCGGGGTCGCGGGAGCCCCAGTTCGTCTACCCCAACATTATCGGCCGACCCAAAGGCCAGGGCGGCGGGGCCAAGGGCGCGGTGGAGGTGTGTGTGGGTGACCAGGCGCAGGAAAGGAGAAACGCGCTGTCCATCAGGTATGGCCTTCTCCCAGCAGGCAGGACCCCCCGGGGTGCGGGGGGGGGAGCCCAGGTGAAGGCGCCCAAGGGTGCGAGCCTAAGGCAGTGGGGGGACAGGAAAGCCTCAGCCGGCTGGTGCAGCCCACGAGTCTCCAAGGGTGCTAAACATCTCCAAGGGTGCTAAACACCTAAAGAGTGAGCATTACTTGCTCTCTGCACCTAAAGAGATGTCCTCAAATGTATAAAGTTACCGTTCATAAGATACAAGTCCATTAAGAATGTCAGTTAATTCATAGTACCCTCTCATGTAGGTTATTTTCTCCAATTGATAGTAGAGCTGTACTATTATGTAAAGATCTCCCAATTTTTTAAAAAATATTTTATTTATTTATTCATGAGAAACATACATACACACACACACACACACACACACACACACAGAGGCAGAGACAGGCAGAGGGAGAAGCAGGCTCCATGCAGGGAACCTGAGGTGGGACTCAACCCCTGGGACTCCAGGATCACACTCTAGGCCAAAGGTAGCGCTAAACCACTGAGCCACCCAGGAATCCCCCAATTTTTTTTTTTTTAATTTAAAGGATTGTCTTCTAAAGGAGGGACAAATGGAAAGCAGCAAAAATTGCAGAGGAGAGTAGCTATGTTAACATTTGCTGGCAGTTACCTTTTCTGATCAGTGGTCACTATCCATAAAGGGATACTGGTAATAAATATGGGGATTAACCCAAGTTTGAAGGGGATAGATCCCGGAGAAATTGAAAGCTACCATTGTAAAATTAATTAATTAATTAATTAATTGATTAATTAAATAAAATAATAAAATAAAAAGCTGCCATTTATCTTATTGCTTTTCCTACAGCTACCCAGTGGAGCGCGGTCTGATTACTTCCTGGGGGGACATGGAGATCATGTGGAAGCATATCTATGATCATAACCTGAAGCTAAAGGCCTGCGATGGCCCGGTCTTGATTACTGAGCCAGCGCTGAACCCATTGGCGAAACGGCAACAGATCACTGAAGTGTTTTTCGAGCATCTACAGGTTCCTGCCTTCTATATGTCCATCCAGGGGGTGCTGGCTCTCTTTGCCAATGGCTTCACAACTGGCTATGTGCTGAATTCAGGTGCTGGGGTTACCCAGGGTGTACCCATCTTCGAGGGTTACTGTCTGCCTCATGGTGTCCAGCAGCTAAATCTGGCAGGCCTTGACCTCACCAACTACCTCATGATGCTGTTGAAGGACCATGGCATCATGCTGCTTAGTGCTGCAGACAGAAAGATTGTCGCAGATATTAAGGAAACCTCTTGTTATGTGGTAATGAACTATGAAGAGGAAATGGCCAAGAATCCTGAATCTGTAGAGAAAGTTTACCAGCTACCTGATGGGAAGATGATCAAGCTCCATAACCAGCTCTTTCATTGTCCAGAGGCCCTCTTCTCTCCACATCTTCTGAACCTTGAGACTCCTGGCATCGATAAGTTGTGTTTCAGCAGCATAATGAAATGTGATACAGATCTGAGGAATTCATTTTTCTCCAATATTATCCTTGCTGGGGGATCAACCTCTTTCCCTGGTTTAGACAAGCGGCTAGTTAAAGATATAGCAAATATGGTGCCTGCCAATACGCCCGTGCAGGTTACAGCTCCCCCAGAAAGGAAACTATCAGTGTGGATGGGAGGCTCGATTCTTGCATCCCTGTCTGCCTTCCAGGACATGTGGATCACTGAGGCAGAATTTAAAGAAGTTGGACCTAACATAGTACACCAAAGATGCTTCTGAATACAGATAAAATGGTTAGAAAAAAAAGTGTTTTGAGTATTTGTGACAGAAAGCTGGGTATTATATATGTATCTGGGAGAACAAAGTATTTCAGTTACTGGAATGTCCACGTCACTTTCATTTCTATGATGGGGGGAAATAATGCTGAAGCAAATAACATGTATATTGAGTAGAGCCAAATTAAATGCTAGAAGAAACATTATTCTTGACCTTGGTGATTTTATAATTCCCTTGTTAGAAGAGCAATTTGTAGTACAACGTGTGTCCCAAATGAGTGGTATAGATTTAAGTCTGTTGAGTTTTATGAAAAGAAGGTTGCTGTGAGAAAAGATTGCATAGCAAATGTATGCCATCATGGATGGGGTGGCATTACGATAGGTGTGTGGTAGAGGAGGAGGAAGAGGGCAGATATCCAGAAAAGCGTATTGGAGATGAGCAAGGGCCTAGGGATGAGAGTGAACAAAGCATATTCAAGGCACGCTTAATACACTGGTTTTATTGAAAGGAGGATCCAGAGGGAGCAGACCAAGAGCAATGACGAGGAAGGGGAATGAAGGCCAGGGACTGGACTGGAAGGCTTTGTGTTAAATGTCCTGTGGGCAAGGGGGAACAATTAAAGAACGAAACACAGAAGACACAGGAAATTAACTTAAGATGAATGTGATCACAGTTTGGACTGTGAATTGGACTGGGAAGTCCTTGGAGATTTGGTGATCAGTTAACAAGTTATTAGTGTAGATATAAAGTAGTCAAATCTTATACCCAAAATGGTAAGCGATAGGAATTAAAAGAGGAAATTACAAAAAATGGACAAATCTTGATGTTTAAGTAGATATGAAAGGGGGAAGAAGTGTGTAAAATGACCTGGGTTCCTAATGATGATGGTGGTATTAACACAACTCAAAGTATTTCATATCTGCTCTATGCAAAGCACTGTGGGATAATGTCCCTAAAGATACTTTCAAAATACAGGAAAATAACAGTTATTTTTTCGTTACAGAATTGGATAATTTATAGGTCCAGCTCAGATGCTACCTCCGCCACCCAGCCAAAATTCATTCTGTCCTCTAGTACAGTGTATTACTGGTACTTCTATTGACCACTTGATTTATCCAGCCTTATCTTTTGATGTGCTTGTCTTTCTCCCGCACTACATACGTTCTAAGAAATAGGGATTGTGGGACTTCCCTTTTCATCTCCATCCCTGTCCCTGATGCTCTCTCTGGTGCACTCCCAGTAGGTATGTAGATATGGAGGACTGACCAGAAGCACATTCCGGGCAGAGGGAACATTAGATAATAGGCTCCATGGTGTAAAAATCATGGGTACATTGTACAAGCGGCAGTACGTAGACTGGAGTCAAGCATTTGTGAAGAGCTGCATTTCATTCCTCGGTACTACTCTCCCACTTTAGTAATTATAAGCAAAACTAGATGGATGAGGTGTAGAAAATGATTATCTGAGGGCAGTGTGAGCAATTGGTGCTGTGCTCACTACATCCGCAAGGACCGTAGAGATCATGAACTCACTCTTCATTTCAGAATTATTTTCTAAAAGAAAACAGGACTACTTAGACATGTATCTAGTTTAAACTTCAACCATCCCAAAGAGCTGGGCAAGTCAAGTATTATTCCCATTTTACAAATTAAGAAATTGAGATTTAAACAGATTAAGGGCTTTAAGTTTAAAGTGATCCCAAAGTTGCTTGCTAGGTCAGGCTGGCGAAGGATCCCTAACCTTGGTCTCAGGTAGTTAACCCAAGAACCAACCTAGAGTATTCTGTACTGACTCCGTGGGGTCACAGACGATCCTTTTCAGGTCATCTAGGGGTAGGAAATAAAATTCGAAAATCACATTTCTGTTTTCCACGCCCTCAACAGTCGTCGGAAACCAACCCCCTTAACATTGTGCTTTTCTCTCAGTTGACGGGTCAACAGCCACAACCCCACAGAATTCACCCCATGGAACATGGATCCAACAATTAGGACCTGCCAGTTGTATGTGAACAGTATTATTATACCGGCCCTTACCGAAAGCCGCTACAATTCATGGTGTCCAGTTCTTTTTTTTTTTTTTTTCCAACCTAATCCCACAGTATGAAAGTAAAGTCAACGACTGAAAGGCTTTCATTCCCCATAAAAGGTAGATTCAATCCTGAATGTTAAAATTCAGAATGAATTGAGAATTTTTTGTGTCCTTTCTAAATGTATAGTCCTGTGGTTCTTAGAAGAGATTTTTTTTGTTTTTTTTTTTTTACTTGTGTTCTTAGGGCAGTTTCCAACGTTGTTTTATTGTTGTGGATTTGGAGATGATGAGATTTTTTTCCCCTCTAATGTACTGGAAGGAGTAGTAGAGTTAGAAAGTTTGTAACCATTAGGATATGGGCAGATTTGGGCAAGAATCCTCAATAAATGTTAAAAATGTTAAAAAAAAAATCAGAATGAAGTAGTTATGCTTAATAAAACCTATCCTCCGTTCAAGAGGAAATGGAAGAGCCATATCCTAAGGAGCAGGGAGCAGGGGTGGAAACTCCCAAGGGAGGCCAACCAGCAGAGCCAATACTCTGGTTTAGTCGAGGATGTTGGGGAATTGATCTTATTTTATTTTTTTTTAAGATTTTACTTATTCATGAGAGACACAGAGACCCAGGCAGAGGGAGAAGCAGGCCCCACGCAGGGAGCCCGACGCGGGACTTGATCCCACGACCCCGGGTCACGTCCTGGGCCGAAAGCAGGCGCCGCAGGGCCCCCCCGGGCTGCCGTCGAGTTTCCTTAAAGGTCGCTACCAACTGCGATGCGCCCTGAGAATCACCGTTCGGCTTCCCGGGCCCGAAGAATCTTTTTTTTTTTTTTGGCAAACTCCCATTTTTTTAAAGGTGGTCAAGCGCGGCGTCGGTGGAAAACAGAGGCGCGCAGCTGTGCAAGTTAGTTTGCACTTTCAGAGTAACCTTAGCTCCTTCCCCTCAAAAAAAATAAAAAATAAAAAGAAAAAATAAAAGAAAAAGGAAAAGACAAAAAGAAAAAGAGAAAGAAAAAAGGAAAAGACAAAAAGAAAAAGAAAAAGAAAGAAGGAAAAAAGGAAAAGGAAAAGAAAGAAGGAAAAAAGGAAAAGGAAAAGAAAGAAAAAGAAAAAAGAAAAAAGAAAGAAAAAGAAAAAGAAAGAAAAAGAAAAAAGAAAAGACCTAACATTTTACTTAAGGAACGTGGAGGAGGAGGAGGAGGCGCAGGGTCCTCACGGCCGGAAGTAGAACTATGGGGATGGAGAGGGAGGGGGTGGAGAAAGGGGCGGATTGAAGCCGGCTCTCGCGAGAGCCGAGATGACGGCTTCGGCCAATCAGCGCCGGCGGCGGGCGCGCCCTTTATAAGCGGCGGCGGCGGGCGGCGGCGGCCGAGGTCGCGGAGGGTGGGCCCGGGAGAGGCGGCGGCCGGCCTCCGTCTAACCCTAACTGAGCAGGGCGTGGGCGCCGCGCTTTTGTTCCCCGCGCGCTGTTTTTCTCGCTGACTTTCAGCGGGCGGAAAAGCCTCGGCCTACCGCCGTCCACCGTCCGGGTCTGCAGCCAGCAACAAAAAATGTCAGCCGCTGGCTCGCTCGCCCCTCCCGGGAGCCTGCGGCCGCTCGCCCGCTCAGCCCCCCGCGTCCCGCCCGGAGGCCGCGGCCGGCCCGGGGCTTCTCCGGAGGCGCCCACTGCCGTCGCGAAGAGTTGGGCTCTGTCAGCCGCGGGTCGCCTGGGGGCCGCAGGGCGGGGCTCGGGCCGCAGGGAGAGCAACGGAGCGGGTCCCCGCGCGCGGTGCGTCTCCCTGAGCTGTGGGACTCGCACCCGGGACCGGGCTCGCACACGCGCCGCGCGGGGGGGGGGGGCGCTGCAGGGGGGCGGCGGGGCGGCCCCTCCCCGGGGCCGGGGGCGCCTGCGGGTCTGCGCGGGGGGGGCGGGGGGGATCCCTGCAGGCCCCAGGCCTCCCTCCTCCCTCCTCCCTCCCCCCTCCCCCCTCCCCTTCTTTTTTATCTTGCAGATTTCGTTGAGGTTTTTCGGGGTTTGTTTTTGCCTTTGCCAAGGTAGAATTTCCATTTCTCAGCCGGGTGCCAGGTCGTTAGCTCGTATTTGTTCACTAGAACGAGTGTGTGTTCCTTTCACGGTGGTGGTTGCTTTTTTTTTCTTTCTTTCTTTCTTTCTTTCTTTTCTTTTCTTTTCTTTTCTTTTCTTTTCTTTTCTTTTCTTTTCTTTTCTTTTCTTTTCTTTTCTTTTCTTTTCTTTCATTATGTAATTGGCCTCTCTGCCTTCGGATGCAAAAAGGTCGAAGTGGTGACCACGCCGAAAGGAGGTCTACAAAGACATATATTCCCCTCCCTTCCAAACTCCCCCCATTGGATCTGGTTTTCTTGCAGAAAAGACCGGGAAAGCTGATGGCCCACTAGGCTAAAGGAAACGACCTACGGACCCTTCTCGCATCCCCAAAACCTAGTCCGCAGGTTTACGCATTGAGTTCAACCCAAATCAGTGTCTTCGCCTCCTTAAAAACGGATATGGGGGAGGGGGGCAGTTGCTGGAAGAGATTAGTAGGCAGCGGCTTGCGGGATAAAGGGAAATTATCAGGGTGAGACCGGACCTGGCAGTGGAAAGGGTCGCGAGGATCGTGGGCAGGTCTGCAAACGCGTGGGTCTGCACCAACTCAAGCCCATTACCTAAAACAGGCCCCTCGGTGTCGTTCACACAATTCTTAGCCCCATTACAGTTAAGGGGTGGGGGTGGGGGTGGGTTCTGGAAGTCGCTGTCGCTGGTAATGTTCTCTAAGAAGGAAAGGGATTTTCCCCAGTCACCGTGGTTTTTGTAGAAAGAACGCAGGTTGGGTCGCCAAATGGAGTTATAGTTCTGATTTTTCTGTTGTTTTGTTTTGTTTTGTTTTTTAGATTTTGTTTATTCATGAGAGAGAGACACAGGCAGAGGGAGAAGCAGGCCCCATGCAGGGAGCCCGATGCAGGTCTCCATCCCGGGAACCCAGGACCAT